GTTGGGGGACCCGCCGTGGGCTCTCCCCTTCCTAGCCCTGGGAAAAGCCGGCCGCCCGGTCGGGACCGCCGCCCCCCCGCCACCGCCCGCCCCGCCCGGCACCGCGCCCCCCGCACCGTGCCCTCCGAGCCGCCCACCCTCACCGGGCCGGTCCCGACCCCGTCCCGAGGGCTTCGGGGCGGGTTTGGAGCGCTTTGGGGAGCGGGGAGAGGCGCCGGAGGAGCGGGGCAGCGCTGGGGGGCGGGAGCGGGGGTCCCCGGGTGGCCGGGCAGGGGGCTCGGCCCTGGGAAAAGGGACCTTAGGGGTCGGAAGGGCAGGGCAGCAGCCCCCTGTCCCCCGGGGTGGGAAGATGGCTGCCACCCAGCCTGGGGAGGCTCCGCGCTTCACCGGTGTCTCAACGTGTGCTGGTTCTCAGCTCTGCTCTGAAACCACACAGCCTTTTGATGGGCAGAGAAACAGCCCGAGTCAGCTGTTCCACGTTTCCAGGCTGGACGAGCTCGTTAGTGTCTTTCTCATTAAGTAAAAATTGCTGGCACGGTTTTCTTTGGAGGGCAGGAGGACGGAGGAGGTGTTCGGCGTGCCTGGCCAGCGGAAAGAGGCTGTCTGCAACTTGTTCTTCAGGTTGTTTCAGGGGATGAAAGGGGAGAAGAAGGGATTTCAAAGCTATCAGAAAGCAGCGTTGTCCCACACAAGATGCAGTTAACCCCTGGGACTCGCTGCCGCAGGATCCCCTGTGCTGGCAGCGGGGAGCCCTGGGTTTGGCGTGAGGGGATGGAGCACAGGGAGGGTCCCAGCCCGCAGGCTGCCTCCCTGGCTGCTGGGGGAAGGGGCTTTTCTGGGAGACAAGCTCTGGTCTGGCTGGGACCTGCAGGGGAGGGGACGGGTTTTGCTTAAAAGGCATCCTAGCTCGGATCCAGCCTGCTCCAAACTCAGCCAGCAAAATTATTCTCTAAAAAGGCAACAGCGGTCAGTCGGGAAGTTGCTGGTGTCCCCAGGGTGTGAGCCGAGCTGCCCTGGTGGGCTGATGGCGGGGGGTGATGAGCTCCAGGGGTCCATGCCGGGTCCCCGCTGTCCTCGTGTGGCTGGGCTGAGCCCAGCTCTCCCAGCTCCTGGCTGGGAGTCGGTACTCCTGCAGCCCGGTCCCCAGGACACCCCCTCCTTCCTGTATCCCTGCCCGGGGCTTGGGAGAGAGCACCTGCTGGTCACGGTGGCAGCAGATGTCTCTTCCCCCTGGCTTTGCCAGTCCTCTAACACAGCAGTCAGGGAGAGGGTAGCATCTCTTAGGAGAACACTGCTCGCCTGCTTAAAAGCTGCCAGGGAAGGATGCCCTTCAGCCGCGAGTGGGCAGGGAGGCCCAGCGAGGTGCTCCTGGCAGATGTGAGCATGCAGGATTTGGGGTTGTGCACCAGCAGCTGCCTCCATGTTTGCTGGCCCCGCTGCTGATGGCTGGGGAGCAGGCAGCCAGCACAGTGCACCGAAAAGTAGCTACTCCAGGTGGAAAGGAGCACCTCTCCTCCCATGAGAGGTGCTTGGGGCTGGCAGACACGGGCTGATGGGCAGCTACCTGTCTGCATGCTCTGGGCAACCCTGCCAGCACGTCTCATTGCTCCAGTGCCAGGAGGGTGCTCGGCACCCAGAGCAGAGGTGGTGTGAGGCACCCAGAGCGTGCCTGGCACTGCGTGGGTGGGTGGGCAAAGGGCCGGGGGAGAGAGCAACAGGCAGGGAGAGTGGAAAAAGCAAATCCTGGGTGTCCTCTCAGGCTGGTAAAATGCGTGTTCTCCTGTCATTGCAGAAAATAGTTTGAGCGTGACTTGGTTGGGGTTTGTTTGCTGCAGTGGGACAGGAGGGATTTACACTCCACCCACCGCCTCAGGGGCCTCTCCCCAGCCCAACGCAAAAATAGGCTGATCTTTCCAAAAAGATGGGGCGGGTGGGCTGGAAAATGCCATTCCTGCAGGGACCTACCGTGCTTCCCTGGGAGCCGGGAGAAGATGCTGGGAGTGACTGTGGCTTTCGGTGGGCCCAGCTGGGGAAGCGGGGAAGAGCCTGGCTGCTGTGGGAGAGCCACAGCCTCCGCACATGCAAGTGTGCGTATGCACAGCAGGAGCTTTCCCTCCTCGCCCTGTCTGCTGAAGCTCAAGGAGCCAATATTTTTCCTTCCCAAAGGGCATCTGAAGCAGAAATCCACAGGCAGGGCATGCCCCGTCTACACGCCCCTGCAGAACCCCTCGAAGGCTGGAGGCACTCTTCTGCTGGCACCTGGAGGCTGCCCATCCCCTCTCCCGTGGGTGTTTTGCCCCAGCTGGAGCAGAATGAGGTCTCCATCGCTGGCTCTGGAGAGGGCAGGCAGGTGCTGGTGGAACAAGCTCTCCCGTGGCTGGGGAAGCAGCCCAGGAGCCAGGTTCCCTGTCCTCGGCAGTGCCGCGTGGCCAGGGGATGGCTGGGGAGCCCATGGCTGGTTGCAAACACAACTCCTCTGCATTCCCATCACTGCTGCTGGGAGCCCCCCAGCCCCGGACACTGGGGGTGCCCGTGGGCAGCCAGTCGTGGGTACCGAGACGTGCCCACTGCCCGTGGCGTGGCCCTGCTGCTGCCTGCTGGGTCCCCGCTCGCTGGCGGGGAATGGCCCATCGCCAGCTGCAGCCTGGCATCTCCCTTGTTGACGTGAGTGTTTCAGGCCCTACATGGCCGGGCCCTGGCTCCCCCTGAGCTGCTGCCTCTGTGATGCTTCCTGCGGTGGGCACCTCCTTCATCACCCCCCACCCAGCCCTGGGGCCGGCGGGATGCTCTGCACGGGGCTTCCCCGAGGGCACCAGCTAATCCCCCGGCAGGGTCTGGAAGGTGCTGGGAGCCCTCCCAGCTCCCTCCTCTCCATCCTCCCCCGGCCGCTCCAGCCGCCCTGAGTCACGCCATGCCAGCAGAGCCCCCGCGCACGGCTGGCGGGCACGGAGCGAGGAGGGGGAGAGGGGCTGCGTCCCGGTAAGTGCTCTCAGGCAGGGTAATCCAGTGTTATTTGTAACACTAGTGGGGGAGCTATTTTTAGAGAGAGGCAAATTTGATTTAATAGAACATAATTTGCTGCTGACAATTCAGAGGGTGGCCAAACGAGCAGCAGCTGGATTCCTAAGGAGGCTTTTTCCTGCCCTTCCTGAAATCCAAGGCTGACGTGCCAGAAGTGGCATTTGTTATTCCAGCAATTGCTGGGGGAAAGCCCCTTGGGATGGCCCAATTAGCTCCGCTTTGCTTTCCTTCCATTGCTTCATGCGGCTCCGTAACCCACTGTTGAAGGAGGCGAGGGCTGTTTTGCTGCCGTCCGTTGCGGGAGGGCTCCGGACGCCCAAACGCCTTCGAGCAGCTGGAGCCAGCCACATCCCCCCCTTCGCCTTTTCTTCTGCAGGCTGAGCTAGCTCTGCTCTCTCAGCCTCTCCTTGTATAAATGTAGGATAAAAAATAGGTTCTGGTCAAATGAAAGAACTAATTTGCCAGGAAACAGAAAGCCTGTGTGCACTCCTGGATGGTTTTGTACAGATTCAGTTCTTCTGGACCAGCCTTGGAGATACCTTGGGACAAACTTCTCATGCTGGAAAGGTGCAAAGACCTGCTTGTCCTTTCCCCAAGATGAAGATCCCCAGAAAACCAATGGCGAGATATTGCGTAGTGTTTTTTTTAGCCCTAAAACCATTGTGTCCAGCCTGTCCCCAGTTGGTGACATGGGGACAAAGAGCTGCTGGGATGAGTTGGAATGGCCACGGGGTGGAGGCAAGTTGTCACGAGGGAGCACTTCCCTTGGGGTTGTGTGTTGCCCCAGGTCTGCACTTGTGTGGGGACACTGTGCCCCCCAGCCCTGGGGCAGCCATCCCCCTGCCACCCCGGGCAGGAGCAGCAGAAGCTTCTCAGGGGTCCCCAAGCCCCTGCCAGCTCAGCCCCCGTTGTGCTCCCGGCAACCTCGGAGCCACATTGCCCTGTAGCCAAGAAGTCCCAGGCCGTGGGATGGGATTGCCAGGGACAAGAGTCCCGGCGGCTGTCCCTGCTGGCAGAGGGAAGGGAGATGCACAGGAGCTTTTCCAGGCAGCAGCATCTCCCCCAGCTCTTGGAGAGCATCCTCGGGCAGCAGCATCCCCAGCGGGGCACAGCTTCATACCCAGCAATACCCCCAGGGCTGGAGCAGCTCTGGGCAGTGAAGAGGGATGGGCTCCACACTGCAGCTCCCGGGAGGAAAAGTCTGAGCAGGAATAAGCACAGCTGTGTCATTGAACTCCAGGAAGCACATGCTGGGGGGTTTGGTGGGCTTCTCTCCAGATGTGCAGTCACTTCCCGCAGCTGGAAAACCCCTTGGCAGCCATCCGGGGGGGTGCTCAGCGCGGCGCTGCTTGCCTGGGGGCTGCCGTCCTCCCCACAGCAGTTTGTGGTGCTCCCTCCTCTGCCAGCACCGGGCTTTGCCCTTGGGCCATGTCTCACCCTGGAGTACCTGCAGCAGCTGGAGTTAAAGCCAGAATAACATTGGTAAAGAAAATTGTTTTTTTTCTGGGGACCAAGCAGTGATGCTCCCCTGACTGCATCCCTAGAACCCTGAGGAGGTGGCCACGTCTCCTTGCCAACAGCAGGGCTGCCCTAGGCAGCTGGAGTGAAGGAGAAGGTCTATTCCACAGACAGTTTTGGGGGGAAATCCTGAAGATGAGGGGTTAAGTACCTGCCTCTGCTGCCCCCCGTGTGTGACCATCTCTAGGGACACCGGCTGGGGGTGGTGTGGCACGTGGGACCCAGCAGCTCCCCAAAATTACTTGCTCCCCTTAATGAAATGCCTTTTCCTTGGAATGGAGAGGCACTGGGGGCAGCCCAGCCAGCCCCAGGGGGTACAGTGCTCCCCAAGCATCACCCCAAGTTGTGTGGTTATTCCCAGCTTGCCAGTGCTCTGCTTCCTCCCGTCTGTCAGCTTAGGCTGGTGGAGACCAGGAGCCAACATTTAGCAGGGAGACAGCCCTAAAATGGAGATCAAATTGCTCTTCTCTGCTCCTCGAAGAACAGCCACCTCCTTGGGATGCTGCCCTTTCCTCTGGGGCTGATTCAGTTAAGTGAAAAAGCTAATAAATTGTGAAGCCTGCGGGTTGATGGGCTGGAGAGGGCTGCTTGGGTGGAGGCCCCTCTGACACTTCCTCTGCGGTGCAGGATTTTCCCTCTCATCCAATTTTGAGTGTAGATTTTCATTTACAATGATTCTCGGCTGCAAAGCCAGCTAAAGGTCACCACCAGCTTTGGAGATGGAGGCGTGAGCTGGGAGTTTCCACTCCTTCAGACCCCCAGCCTCCGGGCACTGCATCTTCTCTGATTCATTGTGTCCTTCCTTCTGCTCCTATCGTGCTGGGTTCCCCCAGGGAATACTGGGGGTAAATAAGGCGAGGAGCTCCTTTCCCTGCCCGCGGTGGTGCCTTGCCTCTGTTGAGCTGTGGCCGCTCCAGGTGGCAGAGGGCTCCCCCAGGGACACTGAGCCCTGGGGACAGTCACACAGCGAGGTGCTCTGCGTTCCTCCCTGTGCCCGTCCCCCCTCTCTGCCAGCCCCCCACAGCAGCCACTGCGTTCCCCTCTCCGTTGCCGTGGGGCGCCTGGAGCAGGTGTCCGCCACGTCCATGGCGGGGACCCTCCCCAGCGGGGAAGGCACCCTTGTACCCCATTTCCAAGCTCACACCCCCCCCCATCCCCACTGACCCCCAGTGCCGTAGGGAACTCTCCCCCGTGGCAGGGCAGCCTCTGCGGGCTGGGCACCACTAACCCCCTCCTCTCTTTCTGTTCCCACTCTAGGGAGGAAGGTGCTGACCGGCTGCTCTGGCGCTGGGGTTTGCTGCCCACGGGCTCAGCGGGATGGTGCCAGCCAGCCAAGAGCCCCCCGTGCCCCTCACGGTGCCAATGTGACCACGCTGGCTGGGACCTGCGGCACCGAGCCTGGCACGGGGAGCACAGTGACTCGTGGTCCCCCTTTGGGGTGCACCGCCCCAAGATGAGCGATGGTGGGTGGATCTCGCTCAGCCCCACTGAGTTTGCCCAGCTCCAGCAGTACACAGACTGTGAGTAACTCGTGCCCCATATGTATCCCCCCTGGGACAAGGAGAGGGGTTTTAAAAGCCCTGATCTGTGCCAATTTGGCGTCCTACACATCCTTGGTGTCCTCCTGGAGAATTAGATGACTTCTTAGGTTTTGGATGGGGAGGCTTGCAAGGTTCCTGACCCCCAGCACCAGCTATGGGGGGCACAGCAGAGGAGTCCCCCCATGCTTGTGCACCCGGGAGGATTTAGCTGAGCACAAGCCCCTCTGTCTGGGGGGAGGCACACGTGAGTACAGCTCGGCCCCTCCAAAGGCAGACGGCTCCCACATTTGTTAGTGAAACGAAATGCTAACGAGAAAAGCAGACGGGCTTTTCCTAAACATGCAGAGCTGCTCCACGGCTCGCCTCGGGTTGCCAACCCTCTGCAGTAATTTTACTTGGTGCTTTTGCAGAGGAACCCTCTCCTGCAGCTCCTGCCGAGGAGAGGAGGTTGGCGGCGGTGCCGTGGGCTCCTGGAGCTGGGAGCAGCTGGGGAGGGAGCCTGGGCAAAGCCCAGGGGTTCAAAACCAGGTCCTCAAGGTCCTGCCTGCCTGCGAGCTGGCGGGCGAGTGTGCTCATTGCGGCCAGCCTGGGGGGAGCAGCGCAGCCCGGGAGGGGGCTGAGAGCAGGACAGGGTGTAAAATCTGGGGGGCATTGCTTTGCAGAGGCAGCACAGCCCCGGGGGGGCAGGCTCCTGTGGCTGCATGGGATGCAAAGGGGACCCTGTGAGTCTCCCAGGGCTGTTGTGCGTCGTAGGGGTGAGGTGAACCAGGTCAGGGCTGACAGCGCAGGGAGGCACAGTCTCCCAGTCCAAATCACCAGTGCAAGCTGCCCCAGCCCCCTGCCTGATGTCCCTGGCAGAGGGGTGTGCACAGCATCCCTGTCTGACTTCCATCCTGCCTCTCCGGAGAACGGGAGAACTGCTTGCTTGAATCACAGGCCATAAAGTGCCATCTGTAACACTGAGCTCAGAACACATACAGATCCTTCGTTTCGTTAATGAAAGTTTGGCAGGCAAGGCTGCAGTGTGGGCAGCTGCCTCCTCCCCAGGGGGGTGGCCTGGCACCGCGGCAGGGAGCAGGGCTGGGGGGTGCTCCCGTACGTCCTCCCCAGCCCGAGGGCCAGGAGCCCCCTCCTTGAGCTCATGCTGGCCCCACTGGGCTCTCCGAGCCCTGGATCTGCCCCGGGTATCCAGGACAGTCATGGTCCAGTGCTGAGCTCCATCCCCAGCTGGGGGGAGCAGAAGCCAGCACAGCCCCAGCTTGGAGAGAGGATTTCACAGTAATTAACAGGGCTGGCATGTCCAAGAGCCTTTTAAATGGATGTGCCTGGAGATATGTGTGTGAAGGTTAGGGCTTAACATTCCCTCCCCTTGATCTTTTTTCCTATTTTTCCCTTATTTCTCCATTTTGGAAGGACCGATGTCCCTCCAGAAACTCATGGGCCGTTCACGATTTGTGTGGAAGTTTGCATGGGATTCCCCTTTGCCTCCCAGTCCTCTCCCTCCTGACAGCTCCTTGAGATGCCAATGGGCAGCCCAGGGCAGGCTCCAGGGATGGCTCAGGCTGCCAAGGGGGTGCCACCATGTTCTCAGCACGGGGTCAGCACCCCAAAACCTGTGTAGAGAGGCAGGGGCAGGGACGGCTGGGCTTTGTGCTCAGCATCCCCACGGGAATTGGTCTGGGCTGTCCTTACCCAGTGCTGCTGCTTCGCTCTGGGTCTGTATTTTCATATAGGTAGGAGGAAGAGGACCCATCTCTGCCAGGCAGCTTTACATAAATGCCCTTCTAAATCTCCTTATCTCTTCCTCTCCTCTCTTTTTTTTTTTTTTTTGGAGGGGGGGGAAGTCCATCTGTCAGTCTGGTTTTGGCAAATTTGGCTGAAACCAAAGCACCCTTCAAAGTTGGGGGGGAGGGGAAAGGAGGGGAAAACAGGGCACGGGCAGCCCCTTCCCAGGCGTGGAGGGAACCAGAAATTGTATATTGAGCAGATAAACTCATCTCCACCATCCTGCTGGTGGTCCAATGGTGAGGGGGGCTCACAGGCACTGTGCTCAGTGCGATGCCTTTGTCTCCCCAGATTCCACCAAGAAGCTCAAGGATGTCCTTGAGGAGTTCCACGGGGACGGTGTCCTCTCGAGGTACAACCCGGAACAGGTATGGCCGTGTCCCCTCCAGCCTGCCCCTATGCTGCTGGCAGCTCCCACCCCCCTGCCAGCTTCCCCAGCCCAGCTCCTGCAGCTAAAAGCAGCTGGGAAAAGGCAGGTCTGTCTGTCCCCTGCCTCTCCCCATGGCCACGCTCCCAGGACTGGGAAAGATATTCCCACAGGTGGGAACATCTGTATTCCCCATCTTTCCCAGCCTCCAGACATCCCAGGGACCAGGCTGGCAGCACAGCCATCCCACCCCATCCCACCAATGCTGCTGGGACCCCGTGGCCATGCTGCCATCCCGTGCTGGCTGCAGGCTGCCTTACTGAGAGTGATTTGGGGCATCTCCTTAGAGGCAAAGCCAGGAGGGATTTACTCTGTCTTCCCCCAAAAGCAAACGCTTTTGTTGTTGCCAGTGTGGGGACAGGGGAAGGCCCTGTGCCTTCTTGCTCAAAGCTGGGGTTATTTTTTCCAAGCTTCCAAGCTTTCAGAGTGCTTTCAGAGAGACCTATTAGTGTGCCAGCAGGACAGAGCCTTTCACAGGGGCTGTAATCACTAGAAATGAGGTGAAACACAATAAAATCAGTGGGCTGAACATGAAGAGGAGGGGCAGAAAAACTACCCCACTATTCAAGTGGGACATCATGGGACCTTCACTTCAGCTGTGGCCACAAAAGCCATCAGGAAGGCAATGTACTGATGCAATGCGGATGCCCAGTGGGAAAAGAGGAGGCGAGGAGACCTCGGGAGGACAATAGTCCCCAGGGGCTGGGAGTGGGCCGGGGGGCTCTCCTGCTCTTTGTCCTGCCCCAGGGAAGCAGGAGTCTTTCAGAACACATCTCATTACACCCTTCTACCTCCAACACCCCCAGCCACCTTTGGCTGTGCTGGAAGGTCTGTATTTAGTTCCTCAGTCGTTTGCCAGGAGCTGAGCACCCAGCTCTGTCAGAGCTTCCTGCCTTTCCAGTGAGCTGCCCTCCATCTGCGGGGCTCTGCTGGCTGCAGACCCCGGGCAGGTGAGCTGGCTGCTGCCCCACCGCCCGCGAGTGCTGTCCCACCACAGCTCTGCCCTTCCATGCTGCTGCCCCAGCTCCTACCCTGGCTGCTGGGGCTCCCATCCCTGCTCCCGGTGCCGCTGGCCCGGCTCAGCCCTGGGCAGCCTGCTGGCTCCGGGGATTTCTGGCCCTGCTGCCTCTGGGTGCCCTTAGGTCATATCCTACTGCTGGGGTTCGGGAAGCCAGTGGTTTTGGGGAGGGCTCTGCAGCTGATGTGCCCAGTGAGGGGGGCCCAGGGCTGGAAGCTCTGCAACCCCATGGAGTCCCCAGGGCACCTCCATCCTCTTCCTCTGTCCCCTTCCCAGCCCATCGACTATGAGGGCTTTCGCCTCTTCATGAAGACCTACCTGGAGGCGGACGTGCCCGAGGAACTTTGCCAACACCTCTTCACCTCCTTCAAGCGTAAGATATGCCAAGCCTCCCCCGAGAGCCAGCGCCAGGGCCCCAGCGTCTCGCAGCTCAACACCCTCGGTGAGCCCCAGCCACGGCACCCCCGCACGTGGGGCTCGCTCCCACGCTGCCCCTCGGGGACGACAACCACAGGGGGTGGCAACAGCACACACCTCAGCTCTGTCCCATCTGATGGATAGGCTCTCAGGGCCCCCGAGCTGCTCCAGGGAGGAGGGGGCTTCCCTGGGATGGGGGACCCACGGGGCACCATTGCGCTGATTCCTCCCTTTCCTCTGCGCGTTCGTAGCCAAAGTCACTTGATGCTGGTGTCACCACTCAGACCAAGGTGGCCCGTGCCCCTGGCACAGGTACTGGCCCAGGCAGCCACCAAGCACACAGCTGCACCCGGAGTGGGGGAGGTGTGCTGGGCACCCAGCTTCTGCCATCCCCGTCCCTGCCCGAGTGGATTCACAGCACGTGGAGACGTCTGCTCAAAGGGCTACAAACTGCAAAAGAACAGGGAGAACTCTCCTCAGGCGCTCAGCTGCCATGTCAGGACATGGTGGTTGGGGGACCACATCCTCCTTGCCTGGTCCCAAGCGCCGTGGTGGCTGGCACCCAGGGATGGGAGCACTGCTGGGCCAGGCAGGAGGGTGAGGGGCCACCAGCATTGCCCCTCAGAGACCCCAGGGGTTGGGGTACTAGCCGGCTTTGGGGCTGGCAAAGAAGACCCAGGGCGAGTGGCAGGCAACCAGGCAGGGCTTCTGGAGGAAGGGGTTTGCCAGGCACAGGCACCCTGATGTCACCCTGCCCACGGGCATCTCTCTGCTTTGCAGGGATCAACGGGAAAATGCTCCTAAGTGCCCTGGGACGACACACCCCTGAGCCCAAGAGCTGTCACAGCAACGCAGCTGAGCCGCAGCCAGCGTCCCTTACCCCGGCGTCGATCCCCAACGCCTCCCCAAGCTGGTCCAGGTCCTCCTCCCAGAAGTCCACCACCGGCACCCCTTCTGCTCACAACTCCTCGGGCTCTTCGAAGGTCTCCTCCGGGTCCCTGCTCAGCCCTCAGTCGCCAGGTGAGCTTGACTGGGGCTCCAAGGGGGGCACCAGCGGTGACAAGCCCTCTTCAGTTTCAGCCACAGCTCCCTGAAAGTTTTGCTGATCGGGTCCCTGGCGTGGTGACGGTGACCTTCCAAACTCAGTGGGTTCCTGGCATCTTGACACCTTTGCCTTGCAAACTTAAGCTGCCGACTCTGTTCCTCAGAGACAGGCAATGTCTTAATTACCTGGCAGCAGCTCCTAGCGAGGGGAGATTGGAGCGGTGAGTCACGGCTGCCTCCAGCCCAGCTCCTGCCAGCCACTGAGGGGGGGCGCACTGGGAAGGGCCCCTCTGCCAGGAGCAGCCATCTGCCCAAGGCTGCCGCCGGCAACGTGGGCTGTCCCGGCACCCTGGCAAGCTGCCCCGCCGCCAGCCAGGCTTCTCACTCCTTCTGTCTGAGTGCTTGTCCCCCGCGGGGCACGTCCCCTTGGGGGACCACCACTCTCATCCCACCTGCATCCACAGTGCTGGAGATGTGGGGGTCTGCGCCCCAGGGACCAACTGGCAGTGCCCAGCCCTGCTCCTGCCATGGCACCCCCAGCCCCGTGTCCCCCTTGTGTGCCCAGCCCTGCTCCTGCCATGGCACCCCCAGCCCCGTGTCCCCCTTGTGTGCCCAGCTCTGCTCCTGCCGTGGCACCCAGCCCTGTGTCCCCCTTGTGTGCCCAGCCCTGCTCCTGCCGTGGCACCCAGCCCTGTGTCCCCCTTGTGTGCCCAGCTCTGCTCCTGCCATGGCACCCAGCCCTGTGTCCCCCTTGTGTGCCCAGCCCTGCTCCTGCCGTGGCACCCCCAGCCCCATGTCCCCCTTGTGTGCCCAGCCCTGCTCCTGCCGTGGCACCCCCAGCCCCATGTCCCCCTTGTGTGCCCGGCCCTGCTCCTGCCGTGGCACCCCCAGCCCCATGTCCCCCTTGTGTGCCCGGCCCTGCTCCTGCCGTGGCACCCCCAGCCCCATGTCCCCCTTGTGTGCCCGGCCCTGCTCCTGCCGTGGCACCCCCAGCCCCACGTCACCCACACCTTACCCGCTCCACACCAGATGGGTCCCTGCGTGTCCCAGCTGTGATGGCTCCTTGTCTTCCCGTGCATGGCCTTCATCCCTCACTCCCTGCCCACAGGCACACGGAGTGTGGAGAAGAGGTTGCCCTTCAGCCTGCGGAAGAGCCACAGCTCCCTGAAAGCCGCCCCGCCACTGCCCACCGCCCCCCTGTCCCAGGTGGTCCATCTGAAGGACATCGTCTGCTACCTGTCCCTGCTGGAGAGGGGACGGGCAGAGGACAAGCTGGAGTGTAAGTGGGACCCTGGGGCCACGGGCTCCCATCCCGCAGCCCCAGGACCGAGCACGGGCTGCCTGGGGTGCCCCAGGGCTGGGCTTTAACCAGCCACTGGCATCTCTTCTCCCTTCAGTTATGTTTCGCCTCTATGATACTGATGGAAATGGCCTCCTGGACAGCTCGGTAAGCCCTTCCCTCCAGAGAGAAAGCCAGGGCCACTCAGGGGGCCAGAGACACACCGGGTCCTATTGGGGTGCCCACTCCCCTGGCGAGGTGCTCCGAGCTGAAGAGGGCTGTGGGAAGGGAGGGGGAAGGCAGCAGCGTTGGCTGCGGTGCCAGGCCATGGGGCTGGGGGACGTGCACCAGCCCTGCAGCATCCAGCAGCAGCTCCAGAAAATCCGCCCACCGGTAATTGTAGCTCTACATCAGGTCATGGTTTTTCAGAAAAGGAAAAATCGTGCACAGCATCCCCCCTGGGATGTTCCCTCTCTGTCCTTTGGGTATCTCCCTTGAAACCTGTTGCAAGTAAAAATCTGTCTTATCAGAGCAATTTTTTCCAAGGGAAAACCCACTGCAGATTTTCCGGCAGATTTTCAGACGAGAAAGCAGCACCCAGCACCCTGCTGAGAAATGGGGTGTCACTGGCCCCCTGTGCAGCGGGGGTCATAAACCTGATACGTCCCCAGTTTGGGGCCTTGAGGCTGGACATGCTGCTCCCTGAGTGCCGTCCCTAAGTGCTGGGTGCCATCATCTTTCTGTGCTCAGGAGCTGGATCGTATCATCAACCAGATGGTGCATGTGGCTGAGTACCTGGAGTGGGACTCCACCGAGCTGAAGCCTGTGAGTGCCGGAGCTGGGGAGTGAGAGGGGGGCCATGGGGGCTCTCGGCAGCCAGGGTTCACAGGTGGCATTGCCGGGTCACCGTATGTCCCCCCTCCTCCAGATCTTGAAGGCGATGATGGAGGAGATCGACTATGACCATGACGGGACCGTGACGCTTGAGGAGTGGATCCGGGGTGGCATGACCACCATCCCCTTACTGGTCCTCCTGGGGATGGAGACAGTGAGTGCCACTGCGGGGACCCGCTTTGGCCGCATCCAGCCGCCCTGCCGGGCTGGCCGGGGAGAGCCTGGGGCTGGCAGCGATGGAGGGTGCGCAGGGACCACGGGAGGGCACCCTACCCCCGGCAACGCGCACCCGACCCGCACCACCCGCCTGAGCAGCACCGCACCGCCCCACGCCGGCCCAGACACCCCCACCCCAACCCTAATGACCGGCCTGCACCCCCAAATCCTCACAAGCTCAGGTCTGAGCTGTGGTTGTTGCCAGCTGCTGCGCACGAGCAGGCTGGGCTCACTCCTTGGGCTCTGAGCGTACCCCGGTTTGATGAATATTTAATCAGAAGAAAGATGAGCACCTAAAATGCCCGCTCCTCTCCTGGTGTGAGCTTCAAAGAGCAGAGGTGGGGTGGGTTGGGTTTCATCTTTTTGGGCTTCATTTCATCAAGGTCCGTTCCTGGACATCAGATGATGGCTTGGCAGGGAAAATCTGGGTTTTTGCTCCCCTGGTGTTTTGTCCAGCCTGGTGTTTGCTATGGAGAGGTGGGGGGAGGGCAGGTTTTCTGGCAGGACGATTAAAGAAAACAGGGAATTTTAAATGCCTCATGCCTGGACCCAGATGCAAGAGGCTTGCTTTGGTCACCCTGTCGTGGCTGTAGCCTGGCCTCAGATGTGGGGTCACCTCCTTCCCATCGGCCACTGGCAGAGCATCCCTACAGCCGGGCTGTGCTGAGGGACCATGGGGAGCTGGAGCTTGGTGCTCAGAGTTGGACGAGCCCAGAGAGAAGGAGGACGCGGTGGCAGGGATGCTTGGAGGAGCACCAGGGAGAAGGAGAACAGGAGGAGCCCGTGTCCTGCTGGGAGCAAACTCCCACAGACACGTTGGGGGCTTTTATTGGATGAAAAGCTGATTAAAGTGGCGGGTTGGGATGCCTGGCAGGGGAGTGACCCCCCTGGCCCTCTGCTCTCCTGCGCTGCAGAACGTGAAGGACGACGGGCAGCACGCCTGGAGGCTGAAGCACTTCAAGAAACCTGCCTACTGCAACTTCTGCCGCACCATGCTGCTGGGGGTCCGCAAGCAAGGACTCTGCTGCTCCTGTGAGTCGTGGGCCCTTGCCAGACCATTGCACCCCCAAGCCATTGTCTCCCACCCCATCCCAGCACCACAGGGAGAGGGGACTGGTCCCTGTTGGTGTGGGTGCCTGGGGTGAGCGAGGAGGGGCAGTGCCTGTGCTGGGGGGTGATGCTCACCATGTTCTTCTCTCGCACCAGTCTGCAAGTACACTGTCCACGAGAGGTGTGTGTCCAAAGATATCGCCTCCTGCATCAGCACCTACATGAAATCCAAGAGGAACACAAGCGTGAGTAGGCAGCTGGTGCATTTCTGAGCTGGTGGGTCTCCTGCGGAGCACTCCTGGAGGCAGCACTGCCGGCAGCAGCTGCCCCCTCAGTCTCCTACCCTGGTTCCCCGTGGCTTTTTCCCCTGGGATTTCCCCCTCAGGTCCTGGGTAGCGTGAGCATTCCCAGCATCCAGAGCCTGGCAGGGTGTGCCCCATCCCCAGCCCATGGGGACCCACAGGACCCCCACCCTGGAGGTTTTGCTGCAGCCCCAGGTGGGAGATGGGTGGCCCCACTGTGCTGCATGGAGCGGCAGGGAGGGAAGATGGCTGTGTGAGGGGCTGGTTTGGATCAGTCAGCATCCCTGCACGATGGAGGTCACAGCGGCAGCCCTTAGCGGAGAGGAGACGCCAGTGGGTGCAGGTGTGCTGTGCCCGCAGTGCCCCCCGTGCCTTGCAGGTGATGCAGCACACCTGGATTGAGGGCAATTCCCCCGTCAAGTGCGACAGATGCCACAAGAGCATCAAGTGCTACCAGGGCATCACCGGCCTGCACTGCGTCTGGTGCCAAGTCACAGTGAGTACGTGGGTGCAGGGAGCCCGGGGTGCACCCCACACGGCTGGCCCCAGGGGAGGAGAGGCTCACAGAGAGGATGTGGCTCGGTGTCCCTGCCCGACGTCCCTTCCTCCAATCCCCTACAGCTCCACAACAAATGTGCCTCCCACGTGAAGCCAGAGTGCGACGGGGGCCCGCTGCGGGACCACATCTTGCTGCCTTCCTACATCTGCCCCGTCGTCCTGGTAAGTGCCCCCTCCCCACTGCCGGGACCCAGCAGGGCGCTGCTGCTTTCTTGGGGCGCCGTCTGCATCCCCACCTCTGTTCTCCAAAGGACAGGCAGTCCCACTGCCGGAGGTCAGAGAGTGACTCCCCTGCCAGCACCAGCCCCGAGGACAACCAGGGCTTCAAGTTCAACTCCACCACGGTGGATGGGCAAGGTCTGCAGGTATGCTCCCACGCCGGGCTGCCGGGAAGCTCTGCCGCGGCTGCGCGCCGAGCCCCACAGCGGCGGGACATCGGCAGCTGCCCTCTCTGCCCTCCAGATCAGCCCCCGGCCTGGCACACACCCCCTCCTGGTGCTCGTGAACCCCAAGAGCGGAGGAAGGCAAGGGGAGCGGTAGGTGGGGTCCTGCCCGGGGAGAGCATCCCCCTGGGATCGGGGGCTGCCAGTCCCTCCAGCTGCCCCGGTGCCACCCCCAGAGTGGGACTCGCCTCCACACCCTCCCTCACTCCTCTCTTTCCCTAGGGTCCTCCGGAAATTTCACTACTTGCTCAACCCACGCCAAGTGTACAACCTGGACCGTGGTGGGCCCGCACCAGGGTATGGAGATGCTGCGGCCCATCCTCTGGCCCCTCCCTCTGGTCCCTGCTCCCCTACGTCACCCCTTGTTTCTCCTGGCTGTCTCCAGGCTGAGCTTCTTTCGAGACACTCCGGATTTCCGTGTCCTGGCCTGTGGGGGGGATGGCACAGTGGGCTGGATCCTGGACTGCATCGGTGAGTGAGGAGCGACCGTGCTCCCACAGGGCATTGTCTGCCCATGTCCTTGGCAATCCGCTGGGGGTTCCCCACATCCCCCCAGTGAGAGCGGGGCCAACAGCATCACCCTCAGGCTCCCCCGACTTGGGGTGCCAGCCAAGGAGGGACTTGGAGAGGGGCAGAGCCCACTTTCAGCCCCAAACCTCTCTTTCCCCATGCCTTGCAGACAAAGCGAACTTGGTGAAGCACCCGCCGGTGGCCGTCCTGCCCCTGGGAACAGGCAACGACCTGGCCCGGTGCCTGCGCTGGGGAGGAGGTGAGGCTGGGCCAGCATCACCTGGGGGGTGGCCGGCCCACAGGGACCACACCGTGTGGCTGGATGGGTGCTGTCCTGGGGGAGACCCCAGGCTTTTGGGACTGCATCTCAGCCCTGGTGCCTCCTGATGGTGCCTCTAACCCTTTCTAAAAACAGCCCCATTGGCCAGGTCCTGCCCAAAAACCTTTTTCTTCTGGGAGAGCCATGCTGTTAGCTGAAATCTCTGCCACCGCTGCAAGGACGAGCTGGGCATCTCGCTGGTGCCATAGCAGCAGCCCCAGGCTGCCCTGGGTGCTCGGCCCCCAACGGCCTCCAGCCCTACATGACATGGCTGCGCTCCCCTTCATCCTCCTTCACCCTCCTCAGAGACCCACCTTCTTTCCGTTACAGGCTATGAAGGAGGAAACCTGATGAAGGTCCTGAAAGACATCGAGCACAGCACGGAGGTGATGCTGGACCGCTGGCAGATAGATGTCATTCCCAGTGACAGAGAGGCCAACGGAGACCCTGTCCCATCCACCATCATCAACAACTACTTCTCCATTGGGGTGGTGAGTGCCACGGGCAGGGATGGGTCCAGAGGGCCAGCCCGGACCGCAGCACACAGGGTTTTAGCTGGAGAGAGGGGCACAGCACGGGGCTAGTTATTGGTGCCCAGACCATGGCATGTCCACCGGAGCCACCTGGCCACGTCAAAGTGGAGGGAAGAGCTCCAGAGGCCAGCAGAGCATGGAGCTCTCACCCCTGCACAGCCACAGCCTCAAGCCTACCAGGATCAGCAGGTTCCCGGGGGCATTTCCCACTCAGTCAGCGGGAAGTGCCGTGGCTGCCGGGAAGTGGCTGGATCGATCCAGCCTGGCGGGTGCACTTAAGGGGTGCACGCCCCCCACGCTGCCCTCCCTTGTCTCCTCGTAGACTCATCCTTAGCACTTTTCCGAGCCAGCCCAAAGTTAATTCCCAGGAGCAGGGACTGTTTCCTGGTGACATTCCTCAGACCACAAAAGTGTTTGGTGAAACTCTGCATTTGAGCTTGAGCCTCCCAAGCCAAGGACTCTCCCTCCCTGCTCATCCTTGCTCGTGTTCCCTACCTCCCTCTGCCTCCTGGTGTTGTTCTGGTTTTATTCTCATTTGTAATGGCAGTACTTAAATGCAAAAAGAGGCACGGTATCTCTCTCTTCCCAGCTGGGAATGTTGCAAGAGCAAGTGTGTGAGGAGCTTAAATGAGGTTCAGGGAAGTTTGGGGTCCCGGGGATGGGTTGAAATCTGCTGGACACCCACCTGAAGCTTTTTGCCCATGGACAAAGCCGTGGTGCTTGGACCTGCATTCCCCCATGTGTTCCTAACCCAGGGAGGTTAGGGAGCCTGCGGAGGATGGCAGCTCTGTGCCACGGGGACTTTCCCCAGCCCTGGGGTCGATCCTGGGAGCAAGAAGGCTTTGGGGGAATGGCAGAGTGGAAAACACTTCTTTTCCCAGGGGCTTGCAGCATTTTTGTCCTGAGCCATGGGTGTCTGAGCGGTGTACCTGACGTGGGTCACCCAACGTGGCAGTGCTGCGGGATGCTTCCAGTTCCAGGATGTCACTGCGGGTGGCATTTGGTGGTGGCTTCTGAGTTGGGCTTAAACGCCCACCACGCTGCAAAGGAGGGGTTGTGATGAGTTTCAGGAGAGCTGCCACCCTGCCAGGGGAGCTGTTGGTGTGCAGGGCCCTGGGGTATCCCTGGAGTCCCACCGCCCTGCCAGTAGCCCTTCCTCCCTCCCTCAGCATCACCTTGATGCAGATGTGGGAAGGATGCCAAGTGTGCTAATTATGTCTTGCTTAACGAGCCCGTTCAATGCTTTGCAAGCAGCCTGGCCGAGGGTGCCTCCCTCACCCCAGCACAGCCTCCCTGCTGCACCCCTCGTGCCAGCGGGGCTGGTGGTGAGGACGCAGAGCAGAGCCCCCTTTCCCTGGCGTGTGCCGGGGGGCACAGAGGGGGGGTTCCCTTTCCCTGCTGCGCTGCCGACCGCTCTGCGCTCCCTCTCCCCTCAGGACGCCTCCATCGCCCACCGCTTCCACGTCATGCGAGAAAAGCACCCCGAGAAATTCAACAGCAGGTAAGGGCTGCCACGGTCCCCGCTACTGCTGCGGGGCTGGCTGGTGTCCCCAAAAGCTGGGTGCAGGGGAACACCCCACCTGCCACGCACCGCACCGAGGGGCCGTGCCAGAGCCTGCGCCCCTCTCCCCGCTGGACTCCCCGGGGAGGCGGGGGGGTGTTTGGCCAGCCCGAGGGGACGACACGGCTGGGGACAGGGGCCAGGCATGGTGGGGGTCCAGGGGTGCTCCTTCGGGGCCTATGCAGCGTGGTTGGCTGCTTGAACTTGGCCACGTGCCCAATTACCTTCATTCATGCTTTATAATTAGGACGGAATTCCAGGGCCAGCAGGAGCAGGCTGAGCAGCGAGGGCAGGGCAGGCAGCAGGTCGGGGCTCGCTCCCCCTCTGCTCGGGGCTGTGGAAACTGCACAATGGCAGCGGGAGCTGGGGCTTGTGACCCCTGTCCCCACCTTCAGAAATACCTGCTCGAAAAGCCCCGAATGGACCAAAGCCTGCTCTGAAATGCAGGTCCCCTCAGCTCACGGCTCCCCCTCAAAGCCCCGCACAGCAATCGATGCAGGGGATGAGGGGTGGTCAGGGGCTGTCTGGCAGGGTGCCGGGAGGGGGACAGGCAGGGTGCTGAGGTGGGGGACATCCCCTCTGTGGGTTACCCTGTCCCTGGCATCCCTGTCGATAGATGACAGCCCACACTCAACTCTGCTGCAGGCCGATGGAGGCACCCCATCCTGTGCTGAGGGACCACCGAGCACCTGCATCCTTCTGCTCCACAGTGTGTCAGAGCCAGGGCCACCTGAGCCACCCCCTGTCCCACAGCGCAGCACCCTGGGGCCGTGCCGTCAGCAGTCCTTCCCCGCAAGGGCTCCTGTCCCCATCCATCTCTCATGTCCCCATCCATCTCTCATGTCCCCATCACAATGGCTTCAGAAAGGTTCTGGCAGCTCATCCTGCTGCCGGCATCCTCCTGGGCAGGATGCTGATGCTGCTCTGTGCCCCAGGATGAAGAACAAGCTGTGGTACTTTGAGTTTGGGACATCGGAGACCTTTGCGGCCACCTGCAAGAAGCTCCACGACTACGTTGAGGTGGAGGTGAGTTTCCCAGGATGGTCCCTGGCTCCAGCCACAGCACAAAGGCTCTTTGGGGGATGTCACCCTTGGCGCCCTCAGGCAGGGCTTTTGGCTGTTGAGGGAGAGGGTGCTGTGGCAGCTTTGACCCTCTACGACAGCAGGAGGATGCAGTCGCTGGCAGGACCCGCTCTTCCACTGCACGGTGCTTGCTGCAAAGCTGGCCAGCTGCAGGCAGAAGAATAGCCCTGTATTTTTCCCCCCTTTCCAGCTGGATTTGAGAGCGTGCCTGGAATATTCTCTCTGTAAACTCCGTGTCCGCTCCCAGCCCTCGTTGAATGACATGGAAACAGCCTTTAATTAGAGCAGGGAGGAGGGCCTGTGGTTGCTAAGAGCACTGTCATTTCTCTGCTCCTGCTGGAGGGTTTGGGCCATGCTTTGCTGTAAACTTCCACCTCTCCTTATTTCTGGATAAACGACCCTTTTATGACTTAGGCTTGAGGGTAAGGGAAGCGTTTCTTGGTGCAAAGGGCTGGTGTGAGCCGGAGCAGGCGGTGGGCGCAGGGTCACTGGCAGTGGGCAGAGAGCAGGGGAACTGGCAGAGCAGCTGGTGCGGCCGTGGGCAGAGGGACTTTGAAGCCTGTTTCTGCACAGGAAGTTTTATCCCTTCCCAAAGCCCGAAGGGGGTAGCTGTGCCCTCGGCAGCCGGTGGAGAGGGGCAGGAGCAGGGGCACAGCCATCTCACCCCCTTTCCCCAGCCACACGCCAACGTCCCAGTGTGGATGAAGTCCGTGTCTGCGGGGTTCAGTGCTGCCAGAGGCGGGTGCGAGGTGCCCCCGGGTCCTCGCGAGGTGCCCCGCGCGCTGCCAGCACAGCGTGTCGGCACTGGCTGCGCCACGCCGGCAGGAAAGCGTTAATCCCGCAGTATTTGAAGTTGAAAGCGGCAGCCTGTCCTCCCTCCGGCTCCCAGGCAACTGTCAGCCTTGCAGAGAAATGGCAGTTTTGTTTTGGAAATTGGCACTCCTTCCCCTACAGCTCCTGGAAATGAATTTGCTTTTTCCCCAGCTGCAAATTTCTACTTCCAGCATCGCTGCCAGCGCGCCGTCAGCTGCCCCTGCTCAAAGAGCCCATTGTAGCTCGCTGGCACGCTGACGGGGGAGGGCTACACGGGGAGAAATCACTCCCTGCATGCGTGTGCGTGGGCAGGCGTGGGCAGCCTGGTCCTGCCTGCCCCGCTTGGCCCCGGGCAGAAATAGGCTCCTGCAGCATCCCTGGAAATGTGGCAGCCCGGGTAGCCCTGGGCAGCTGACTCCCTCCCGTGCCACTGCAGCCAGATCGGTACCCAACACCTCGGCCACAGGCAGGAAAGGTGCCTGTGGACAAGGGAGATGCTCGGCTCGAGCCGGGGTGGGATGAGTTGTCCATCCTGTGAGGATTCAGAGTCCTCTCGCTCGGTTTCCAGTGCCCAGACTGTTAGGGTCTGCTCCTACAAATCATAATATCATTAAAATGTATTGAGAACGAGAGGATTTACATCCTTTACAAGCCTCAGGGAGACAGCTTTTCACTCCCAAACCAGAAGATTCCTGCCTTTTGCTGTCAACGCAGGGCTAAAAATAAGATGGCAGAGCATCAGGGGAGGCAGATCCGAATGTAGGGAGGTGCTGGCGTGTGTGCGCACCCGGCTCCACGTGTGTGCGGCTGGCGTGCTCAGTGCTCACCAACAGCCTGTTAAAAATAAGCCTGAGACCTGCAGCCTTTGCTAGAGGAAAACAACTGGAGTCAAAGCAGCAGTGGGGGTTCATCGGCCCATCTGCATTCCTCTCGGCAAAGTAAGAGAGGGCAGAAATGCCCTCGCATCACCAAAATGCTGGTATTTGCTGAAGCATAGCATGGCAGGTAGAGAGCAGATGCATAAAGGAAAATACAGATGCTCTGGAGAAAATACAGTGGAATGGGAGAGCGGCTGCTTCCTCCAGGGGTATCTAGAGAGAGGATCCAGAATCGTCTGGGTATCATGAGACTGAGAGAACCTGAAGTTAAAAAATGCATTTCCATGGCTGCTGCTTCCAGTCCTGTGGGAAAGCCACAGGCAACAGATATTTTACCTTTTACAAGGAATTTTCAGCTGGGGCAGCCCTGCTGTATGACAGAAAACCCCAGGACACCAGTTGTGTGCTGGCTTGTGGCTTTCTCTCCAAAACTAACATCTTTCTTTTAACACCTTTTCTATCATTTCCTTCCAGCCTCATTTCTCGTTTCCAAGTTGCACGTGAAGACAAACTGCTTTAAGTTCCTTTTTGAGCAACCAAACTTTCTGATTCTTTTTGGTTGATTTTAACAAGGGGAGGTGGGGGAGCGCATGCTGGAGATGCCTGGGTAGAGGTCGCTCTGGGGCTGAAGTGATGTCACCTCCTATTTTGGGTCATAACATCAAGACTAGCCAAGGTTTTATGTGCTCCCATAGGAATTTGCTTTTTGAAACCACCATCTCGGGGGTGTAGTGAAATTCATATTGAAATAGAGGGGAAAGCAGCACAAGGAAGGGGAGGTGAGGGTGCTCGGCCCTAGAAAAGCAAAGCCAGGGGGGTATTTGTTTGCCCCTCCTGCCCTGGCTGCCCTGGGGCTGCCCGTGCCCCCCTGGGGCAGGTTTGCTCTGGGGGCTGTCTGGCAGCACGCCACGCTCGGTGTCCCCACTCCTTCGGTGGGCAGGTGGGGAAAGGGGGCTGGGCTCCACGGTGCCGGGCACCGGCACCCCCCGACCCCAAGGCTTGTTGCCCGTGTGCCTGGCAGTGCGACGGGACCCTGCTGGACCTGAGCAACACGTCCCTGGAGGGCATCGCCGTCCTCAACATCCCCAGCATGTACGGCGGCTCCAACCTCTGGGGCGAGACCAAGAAGCAGCGCAGTTACAGCCGGCTGGGGAAGAAAGCCCCGGAGAAGCTGCAGGGCACGGTGGTCACCGATGCCAAGGAGCTCAAGTTCTGCGTGCAGGGTGAGCGGGGGGACCACGGCCTGGGGGGCCATTGGGGTGTGCGGGGTTAGTGCGGGGGAGCAGGGCAGCCACTGGGTCTGGCTGTGTCTCAGTGCACGTGGCGCTGGGACAGTAGTGCCACAGGGGCTGCTCTCAGCTCACTGTCTTTTGGGGTGCCAGGGTGACCCCAACAATGATCTGGCCAAGCTGGCAAAGGACGGTGGCTCTGCCCACCTGGTGCCTGTGGTGGCTGGAGAGGATGTGGCTCCCACACCCTGCCAGCCCCTCTCCCCCCACCCTCTGGGGATGGTGGCTGAGGGGGTGCCGGGATGGGACCCCTCACGGGTGTGAGGCTGGGCAGCCCCCTTGCCCTGCGGGGCTGGCAGGGTGCCCGCTGCTGCAGAGGAGGAGCTGGAAGTGGAGCTGCAGAGCTGGCACCGGGGCCTTTTGTAAGCATCCTCCCAGGCTGTGCCGCAGTGCTGCCAGCCTGGCCAGGGGCTTTGGGGACAGCATGGCTGCTGTGCTGGCACCTCGCACCCACTGCCGCCTCCACCAGAGCCGTCCCTGCGGGCACGGGCAGGGCGCAGGCAGCGTTCCCCAGCAGAGAGCGGTGGGTTAGAAAGCAGTCAGCAAAATAAGCAAAGTGCCTGGTCTGCCAGCCGGGCACTTCCTACCTGCCAGCTCCCACGGCCTGGGGCTGAGGTGGGAAAGAGCCCCCCTGCTGCCTGGCTGCCAAGACAGTGGTGCCATCAGCCATCCCAGATTGTCACCAGCCATCCTTCGATGGGCAAGCCTATGGGAACAGGCAGCAGGGAGCGGGGCAGAGCAGGGATTCCAAAGGGTGGCAAGAGGCAGCAGGGTTGGTCCCCTGGGCACACTTGGGTGGGCAGGAGGGCATAGCAGGGTTTGGGGGACTTCTCCTGGGTGTCCACCAGGGGTGAAACAGGATCCTGAAGGGAATGAGAGAGGAGCAAGTTGCCCCAGCGTTGGGTGCCTTTGCTGGCAGCCTGGAAGAGCAGGAAGAGCTGGAAAAAAGGGTGATGCCCTGGGATTTGAGCAGATCCCTCCTGGGGAGGATTTCCCCATACATCCCGGCTCCTGGTGGGGGCCACAGCACCCCAGGGCACCCAGAGGAGGGAGGGTTCTGCCACACTGCAAACAAGCAGTCGAGGGGCTGGTGGCTGCCACCCTGCAGTCATGCAGGACTGGACTCTATTTCGGACTAGGAGTATTTTTGCTCCAGGGATTTTGGACGCAGCATTGTCCAGTGCCCAGCTCGGTGGTCTCAGGGGACAGTGGAACACATCCCTGTGTTTTCCACCAGCCCCACTGCCCTCTGGGGCAGCCAGCAGCCCAGCTGTGCTGGCCCTGATGTTTCCAATGACAGAAGAAGGCAGGGGATCTCCAGGGATGGGGGGACCAATTCGGATCCCTCTCTTTTGCAGATCTCAGTGACCACCTCCTGGAGGTGGTGGGGCTGGAGGGCGCGATGGAGATGGGGCAGATCTACACGGGGCTGAAGAGCGCTGGGAAGAGACTGGCCCAGTGTTCATCTGTCACCATCAGGTATTTGCCCCCGTCCCAGCTGAGCACCTGACTGATGGCAAAAGCTGGTGCCCGCGTCACCCTGTGCTTCCTCTCTTTGTGCCTTGCAGGACCTCCAAGCTGCTGCCCATGCAGGTGGACGGGGAACCCTGGATGCAGCCGTCCTGTACCGTGAGTCCCTGTGGGCTGGGCAGGGGCTGGCAGCACCGCGGGCGGCTTCGGCTCCCCGTGCAGCGTGGCAAAGCCTCTGGGATTGGGGAGAGGCTCCTGCGCTGGGGCAGCCACAGCGCCTGGCCACCTGCGACTTCTGCCTGCACCCGTGCTGGCCCTGGACTCGTGGCAAGCCACCATGGGAGTCGTGGGGCCAGGGACACGCTCACCCCTTGGTGGGCAGGGGGGGTGCAGCACCAGCCCTTCCCGGGGGGGTCCCCCACCATCCGGCAGGCAGCTTGCCTGGAGGAGAAATCTGGAGGTGCTTCCGTAGCTGGTACTCCCATGCAGCAAAGATTTAACCACCTGTTTGGGGAACGGCAGCAGCTCCTCTCCCTGCTCCTGGCTGCTCCGCTGCTCCTGGCTCCCTGGGGTGGCTCCCCGGGGTCCCGGGGCTGGGGGTTGCACAGGGGAACTCGGAGCCTGGGAGCCCCTTATGGAGCTGGGTTCTTCACTTCTTTTTAGGTCAAAATTACACATAAAAGCCAAGTGCCGATGCTGCTGGGCCCCCCCCAGAAGAGCAGCTTCTTTTTCCTGAAGAGGAGAAACCGAACTCGAGATTAAGCCCGGTGCAGAGGCACCCAGCTTCCTGGACATCTGCCTGCTGCGGGGGATCCCCAGATCCCTGCTCTGTGGCAGGGAGAGAAAACAGCCCCCTAAGTGCAACAGGGACGATTTGTCCTAGGAAGGTGTTGGAGGCTCCTTCCCAACCCACCACAAGCATCTTCTCCAGGGGGGATGGACGCAGTGGGTGAAGGCAGGCTGACACACGGGAGCGCGTTCACCAGAGCAGCGCTAGGACTGTTTTTTTTTTCCTTTTATTTAAATACCAACCGCCCCCC